GAAAATAATAAAGTTTGTCAAATGCCCTCTTTTGACATTCTTATCTTGTACCAAAAGAAAAAAAAATAACTTTTGATGAACAACAAATCATTCTTTTGAAGCCAAAGTAATTTCATCTTCAAGCAATGAAGTCAACATTAATTTTTAATTTTACATTTCTTCATCAATTTCAATCAAGCATATCCTTAGATACTGTAATTTATGTTATTAAGAATAATCCTTCTAAATGTCATGACATTTTGAAGTTTGAGTTTAAGTATAATTTATTATATTTTGAGAGATGCTTATATATTTCAAAAAATGAAGTAAAATTACAAGTTCTTCAAACTTATCACAATTTTTTAATTGCACGACATTTTGAATCCTATAAGACTTTGGAATTAATATCTATAGATTTTTAGTGGCCATAAATATAAAAAGTAATAGAATACTTTGTATAGTGATGTGATACTTATTTAAACTCAAAAACTCTTCTTTATTAATTTTATAGACTTTTTTCAACTACCACCTTTATCAAAATAACTTCAATCTTTTAATTCTTTAAATTTTATCAAAAATATTTTTTTGTCAAGTTTTTATGACTTTATATTTGTGATAGTAGATTTTTTTGTTAAAATGGCATATTTTGTACTATGTACAAAATCTATCATACAAGAAGAAAAAACTAAATTTATTATTCATAATATTTATTGCTATCATAGATTGTTAATGAATATTATATAAGATAGAGAAATTCATTCTTTATTAATTTTTGAAAAAATATTTTTTAAATATTGAATGTAGACATTAAATTATATTTGGTTTTTTATCTTTAAAGTTATAGATTAAAAAAAAACTAACTATTTAAGTAGTATTTAAAATTTACCATCAACTACCACTAAGATGAATAAATAATTTTTTAACTACTAGCAAATTTTGTATATAATAATATAATATATTTTTTATTCAAAAATAACTATTTTATATAAATTATGGTTATTATCTATAATTTGATACTTTTAACTTTTCAAAAATTGATAATCATATAGCCAAAGATTTAAAAAATTATTTATTAATGCTAGATATAATAGTAAAGGATTTTTTTAATAATATGTATAAAAATAAAAAAAATCATAAACAACAAAAGACTACTTTAGATATCTATTATAAAGAACAACCTTAATTCTACATTAGTGAAGAGGTATTGTTACTTTGTTTTAATATAAAGACTATTTGCCTTAATGACAAGTTAAATTATCAAAGACTTAGATTAACATATCAATCTAATTACATATTATTTATATTTATTAGAATTTTTAAAGGTCTATATTATATTTTATGTGTCTCTTTTTGATTTATACAAGACAATGAACATATTGAAAAGAATAAAGATGCCATCTTATCTTATAGAAATAGACAACAATCAAGAATTTTATATAGAAGAGATCTTAAATTTAAGATAGCATTGAATACATAAAAATTTCTAGTACATTTATATGTATATGATACTAATAAACATATTTTTTATTATTAAGAAAACTTACAAGTATAATAAAGAAGGTCAAAAGTTTTCATTGACAATATCCATCAAAATCAAGATAAAGAATCAAGTAATTTTTTGCTATAAAGAAAGTAAAGTTTAATGAAGATTGATTTATATTTTTTATTATTTTTTATTATTAATTTAAGTTAATAGCGCCAAAAAGATGAAGAATTAATAACAAGCTAATTAAGTTTAAATATTAAATTTTTTTAGATTATTAAACAAGGCATTGAGAATGTCACAACCTTCAAAATAATGTAAAGAAGTTAAAATCCTTTAAGAACACTATGTTCTTTCTTAAATAGATGGCAAGATATGATGTGTTTGTTATCATGACTTTGAAGAGATTTATGATATTTGGTAACATTATTAGATTTATAAACCACTCTTAATAGTCTTTCAAATATTTTATTTAAAAAAAATTATAAAAGCATCAGCAATGATTAAATAACAAGGTGGTTTTCTTGCATTAGTATAAAATATTATTAATAGTTAAGAAGACCTATCAACTATTCTAAAGAAAAAAAAATTAGAGTATATGATACATATAATCTATTGCATCTTGGACTTTTTAACATGTGACTTCCACTCCTAATGGTACATGTCACTTGAAAAGATATAGAAAAGTGTTAGTGGTATAACTAATATTAAGAATTACTCAAATAAGAGGATTTATGTAAAAGTATATAGAAGTGGATAAATATTGATAATATCTTGTGTACAAGCTTTTTATAAGCTTGAAAGACATGATTTTTACTTTATATGTATCTATAAGTAATTAATAAGTTAAAGACTTAGCCATCAAGTTTGCTATAAATTACTAATTTTGACTACTTGTGATATAAGTTGGCTATATAGCTCATATATAGAAAACTTTCATTGCAAGTTAGATACATGTTCTACAACTTAGACATATATTTGAGGTCTTGTAGAATATTATTATATAGATCTTTGTTAGATAGTATCTATAGAGGCAAAAATAAGGTCTTTCTAACCTTTGTTAATTTTTTTATTGCTTCTAGTATAATTTCAAGAGTTTTTAGTTTTTAATGATCATTCCATTTTTTTCTTAAATGTATATGCATACTTATTTTTATTTTTTCATCTTTCTTTAAAATTGATATTACTTGTTTATTTATATTCTTTGAATTCTTATCCTTCATAGCATGTCATTAATTGTAGTGAATTTTCTAACTTGTTCTTTAAGACAATAGACTTAAAATTGTACTTTATAAGTAGCAAGCTATTTGTTATTGCATCGTGGAAGTAGACTAATACAAAATAAAATTTGCAAAAACTTCACTTATATTTTTTGATACTAAAAATAATATTTATATTTAAATAGCTTCAATAGCATACTCTATTTAGAACAACTAAACTATCAAAGGAAATCTATAGACATCTCTGCCATACCCACTTCTACAAACAACAATAATGATTTATTATGTTTATACTAAATCCACCTCTTTTCATACATACAAAAAAGAAAATGAAAAAGAAAAAGAAATAAGAATAGATAAAGAAGGCAAAATTCAAAATTACTATACAATGTTTTTTAGTGTTTTTGTAGTTGCAAATATTTTCTTAAACATTCTTCTCAAAAATTGACAAATAAATTATAATAGATGGAAAGCCTTCAAATTGACTTATGAGCTTTAGCTTTGTCAAATTTTACTCGTAAAAAATGATGTCGATTTCAATTGTCTACCTTGCCAAAATACACTAATATTGACAATAAATTATTATAAAAATCTATTTATGTTTAAAAAAGAAAAATAAGAGAAAAAAGAAAAACCTTATAGAAAACATTTAAAATCACATCCATCATTTTGTTTAGAGAGAATTAAGAATTGACATCTTAAATGCTATCTTATTCAATTACACACAAGTGTTCATTGTTACCACTATAGTTTTGATCCTCATTATCCTTCAAATATTGGATCTTTGGCTTTGCAACCCTTACTTTTACGTTTCTACATAAATCTGGTCGCTCTTGAAACAAACTACAATCCTACTTATAGCAACACACCACTCACCTCCCAATCGAATGTACAACCATGATGTGGGGTGAATTATTAACTATGGTAAATGTGTCCACTGCATCTTTCAAGACAATGGACATGAAATTATACTCTGCATGCAGCAAGCTATTTGCTATGACGTGGCAGATCTAGACTAATAAAAATCAAAATTTGCAAAAATTACATCCATAGTTTTTCTATACACAAAATAATATTCACATCTTTCTGACTTTAATGATATACTCTACTTAGAAGCTCCAACCTTCTTGAAAAAAATGTATGGACACCGCTGCCATATTCATTTCTCCACACCACATGTACGTATTGGATTGACCTCCTTTCATACACACAAAAAAAAAAAAAAAAAAAAAAATGCAGAATATAAAATTAATGTACAAACATCTCCACACGTATTCTTTTCTAAAAAAAAGTCAATCACAATGAACATAAAGCCTCTATATTCTCCACATTCCTGAGCCATATTTATCTTCCACATATATGATCTATGTTTATCCTCTACATTTGCAAAACTTGGACTAGACCGTTCGTGTTGTTCGAGTTGCGTTGTTTAACATGCAGACTATGTGTCTCTTGAAAAAAGTATCTTACACTCAAACGTGTCCACCAAAATTTGTGGAATAAGTCTGACAAAGACAAATGCCATTGGCAATAATAGCACTTCATGGATTAACAATGCAGGCAAACAGAATAATTCCACTTGATTCGAGCTTCATCGTTAGCTTCTAAAGTCCAAGAGGAAGAGAATAGGCCTTTTGCTACCTGTAGTTCTTGCGGGCAAAGAAGAGGTTATTGAAAATTATAAGGGTCCCAACTACTTTGCATTCCATGCGCTCTCTGAGTTTCATGTGTTTTCTCCACAACCAATCAGAAGTCTTCTTTGTCTCTTTATGTTAGGTCCAACTGTCCAATATAATAGATACGTATGTTTTCATTTACATTGCAAAATTGAAACAGAAAAATCTTATCTGCAAAATCACATCTCTACAGACACACACACACACAGAGAATGAAAGCACAACAATCAAGTCCACGGCAATCTACAAACAGAAGCCAGAAATCCGCATATTAAACAACGCAACTCGAACAACACGAACGGGTCATAAAAAGATATTCAACCTATTAATAGCAGAATCTCACAAACTCAACAGCTTGTGGATTATTTAAAGGAACTTGTTCATAAAAAGCGCAAAAAAACCAAAGCCGGGCCAGGGAGGAAGGCCAAGTCCGGCCCGGCGCGGGAGCAAACCACGGTTGACTCCTTAGAGCAGCCTCGGCCACTGAGAGGCCAGCGTCTCATCCACACGAGAAGCCAGGGCACGACGACGACTCCAGCGATCCGATAGAGTGGATCATCGGGGCCGTCCATTGCCCTCCCCGAATCGGAGGGTCCGATCCGAGCGTGTTTTATCTGTTGGCGCCTCCAGCCCCGTGGCTGTGACACCCTCCTCCCTTACTCCCTCCCCTTCCCTCGCAAGTTTCATTTCGCATTCTTCCCTTCCCTCCCTCCCTCCGGATTGCATTGTGTGATTGCATCAACATGGCGGTCGCTTCCATCTCCGCTGCGAATGTCGCCGTGTCTGCGTCTCTCTCGGTCGGCGCCAGCGTTGGTCAAGCTGACCAGAGGCGATGCAGCTCCTCTCTCAAGACGCTTCCGCTCTCAGCCGGACAGGTGAGATCAAGGCTCGCTTGTATAGGTGGTGTCTTCACTTGTGATTGTTGTCGTGATGTGGAGTTTGCGGTCTGTGTCGGTTTTGGATTGTGTGGATGTGCAATGGGAGTGTTTATTTCTGGGATTTTGTGCCACAGGATTGTTTTTTTCTTTTCTTCTGGGATTGCGTGTTATTGGAGGTGATTTTTTTGTGGTGGATGTGGGGGGTGTCACGGTTGTAGTATGGGAAGGTACATTGGGCGTGGGTTATGTTTGGGACGAGTTTTATCGGGATGTTGATGCTGCGGAGTCTGATGGTTTTCCTGTTGCTCGGTTTGTTCTTTAGTTAGAATGAGGGAATCTTGTAGATGGACTGTAGGTAATGCTTGTTCTAGGATACACTTCTAAGACATCCACAATTACCTGTCGTGTCTGTTTATCGTTCCGTCGTGCTTTCAACGAGCAGCTCTGAAACATACAGGAGCATGATTGGCTCTAGTCGAGTGGACGGTGAAGGGTATCTGACCAACTTGCCATCAACTTAATCGTTGTGTGTATTATGGTTCAAATTGTGAACGTCTGAGTCTCGGATGTCTCGCTGTAGGTAGCTTGTAAGCTCCTGAAGTGCTTACACATTGAATAGCCGGAGTCGGCGCGTGATTGAGTACTGTCGCTGGTCGACGGTGCGGTGCAATGTGTCTTTCTGTTCTTGACGTCCGTAAGATAGATGGTTCGTTTGTTCAATAGCGTGCTATGCTTTTCGGAATCACATCGGCATTCCATAGGGGAAGTAGTTCCACACTTTTTTGAGTCGTGGTGTGTTGGTTGTCTGTCATGTGATGTATACCCGTCATCTTGTTTACCTCCCAGCACGCAGACCTCAACATTGATATCTTGGTTTACTTGACAGGTATCTGGTATTAAAGTTTCCGGTTCTCTCAGCTGCAAGAATGAACTCCGTGGCATTATCTCCGCTGAGAGGAGCGTCTCCGCTCGACAGGTAAGAGGGGTTTTCCGTGTACAATCCCTTATCTATTCGCGTTTACCAATTCATACAATTCTTATTTTAACTGCATATCTCACAGGATGGTCATGATTGTTAGATGATTCAATTTTGAATTTATTAGAGATTCTTCGGTGAAACTAATGCCATCTGAGTTTAATTTAATAATTCCTGCCACGTTTCCACCTGATCTATCGGATTAATGTCCGTACTCCTGGACAGATGCAATCGTTTTGTTTTCTGATTGGAATTTTGTCGTAGTAGTAGGTGTACTATTGTATCGCATGATTTTATCTTACTCTCGATGTTGTCAAAGATAATATTATCGGCTCCAAGGGAGGTTGAAATTGTACATCAGTTAGAGCGGCATGTCTCGGCATCGTCGAATTGCATTCGGATCTACTTGATGTGGCGATTGATTAGGACAGATGATTTGTAATCACTATTCTGTGAACAATTCTGATGACCCTTTAAAGTAAAATCTTATATGTGGTGGTTGGGCATCGCATATCGCTATGATAGGTGTGAGCACTTTAGTTTACTTAGCATTATGATCAGGGTCTATTCTTCAGCGTCCGGAACGCGATGCTGGTTAGCCTCGACTATCGCAGTGATGACCCTTTTCTACTCAATCGTTTGATTGATCTGAAAAAAAATAAAGAAAGTTGATAGGGCTGAGCGATAAGTTACAAGGCAGTCATTTCAATTGCGGTGGTGTGTTGCACTAGTGGTTGCATTTGAATATACATGTAAGGATGCAAAGTTTCGTGTATCCCAAATCTCTCTTGAATTTTTATTTCGATCTGGTGATTTGGGCCCATACATCTACTGTGATATCTCTTATCACGTGGGTTTTAGCGCAGTGATAGAGTGGTCGCACTTGAAAATTGCCGTGCAGGGAGGAGTGTTCAAGATCATGGCCTTGGCACAGAAGGCAGAGTACATCTGGATGGATGGACAGGAGGGTCAGAAAGGGATCCGCTTTAACGAAATGCGATCCAAGACCAAGGTGATCCAGGAGCCCATCAAGGCCGGATCTTTGGACTTCCCCAAGTGGTCTTTCGATGGTTCTAGGTAACGGAAAGCTCCTCCCAATCTGACAACGTCGCAATGGGTAGGGAGATTCGGTGATGTTCGGCTTTCTTGTTGTGTAGAGTGCAATGCTGACATTAGTGTGTGTGCGCGTCGTGCAGCACTGGGCAAGCAGAAGGGCGATTCTCCGACTGCATTCTGAACCCCGTGTTCAGCTGCCCCGACCCCATCCGCGGGGACAACCACGTGCTGGTTCTGTGCGAGGTGTTGAACCCCGACAGCACACCCCATGAAACCAACACCCGGCGCAAGATCGAGGAACTATTGACCCCGGATGTGCTGGCAGAGGAGACACTGTTCGGATTTGAGCAGGAGTACACCATGTTCAACAAGGCCGCGAAGGTGTACGGGTGGCCAGAGGGAGGTTTCCCACACCCACAAGGGCCCTTTTACTGTGGAGTGGGTCTTGAGGCGGTTTACGGGCGACCTCTGGTGGAGGCGCACATGGATGCGTGCATCAAGGCCGGGCTGAAGATCAGTGGTATTAATGCCGAGGTGATGCCGGGACAGTGGGAGTTCCAGATCGGCCCCGCTGGACCTCTGGAGGTGGGTGACCACGTCATGGTCGCGCGTTGGCTGCTTCACCGCTTGGGTGAGGACTTTGGCATTACTTGCACTTTCGAGCCCAAGCCCATGGAAGGAGACTGGAACGGTGCTGGAGCTCACACCAACTACTCGACGAAGTCGATGAGGGTGGACGGCGGTATCAAGGCCATCCACGCGGCCATTGAGAAGCTGTCCAAGAAGCACGCGGAGCACATCTCCTCATACGGGTTGGGCAATGAGCGTCGTCTGACAGGTAATTTGACAATAGGTGTTGTACGCGACGCTGGTGAAGTATCATCTGGTAGAGAAGGTTGTCGTTATTGTGAACTACGCAAGGTGCGAGTGGAGTGAGGGGCGTTCTCTGATGGGAGTGTGGTATGTGTACTCTGACGCAGGCAAGCACGAGACCGCCAACATCAACACATTCAAGTCGGGAGTTGCGGACAGAGGTGCGTCGATCCGTATTCCGCTTGGAGTGTCCCTGGAGGGCAAAGGTTACTTGGAAGACCGTAGGCCAGCGGCGAACGTGGACCCTTACGTAGTGGCCCGCATGCTTATCCAAACGACTTTGAAGAACTAGGTATGTAGATAGGTTTGGGGCGACAGTTGAGCAGCAGGGATCAGTTTTCACACCTTTGCGAGGGTTTAGAGTAGGAGGCTCGCATTTGGTGTGGACCTTAGTGAAATGGTGCAGCACAGATGTGGACGAGTAATGGGGCAGGTTCTATTGCAAGTGCCCTGGAGACATGTACTTGAACTACGTCTCCTGTCAGGACATGATCCATCTCAGAATGCAACTGTGTATTGTATGTTTGTTTCTGCATCGATGGGGTATGCGTAGTGCAAGAGTGACTTGTATGAGGGAAGTGGAGGTGGTTGATATCGGGAATGTTGGAGGGATGGCTTGTTGGTGGGAAAAGAAAGCATGGTCGCATCTGGATTAGAGTTCTTAGTCTGCCGGGCCAGCACCCATTTGCGCGGTACTTTTGACGGAAAGTGGGAGGTAGAGATGGGAGGAAGACTGTGCATGACCGGAGTATGAAGAAATGGACTCGAAAGTGTAGGGTGTGCGAGCAGACTGGTAGAGTAGATTGTTAACAACGGCATGTCAAATTGTGTGCTTAATGAAAGTGTGGAGATACGGAACGGGGACTAGAAAAGGGTCAACTGAATGCTGTATCCAACTCTGCCTCTTACTTACATTGTGGAAAACTATGACGAAGAGTTGAGGTGAATGCAGTTTCCGAATTGCAAAGCGTTGGCTGAGTAACTGACAAGTGTAGAACTGCTGTTGCGCAATGGTTAGAGATTAATAAATGGTATATTATCCTGTGTAAGGAGATAAATGTGGAATTCCATCTCCTTATCCTCAAATCCATATTTCCGTACCTTAGATATGGCAAGAAGCATGCTGTACGCACAAATTTTTTAAAGGGAGATGTGTGTCGAACTTCTGTCTACTCGCAAGCATGTAGTTATGAAACTGGTGGATGAAAGACGTAGTAAATGTGAACAATTTGTATTGTAAATCATGAAATTGAAAGCAAGGAGCATGTCAATATTGAGGGATAGATGAGAAAGGGTGACCTCTTTTTTGATGATGCACATTGTAGTAAGTGACATCGCAATACTAGTTCGTACTTAATGTTGGGAGATGGTTGACTAGAGTTGTATACTCCAAGAGCAGCATGAAAAACTTTCGAAAAAATGTAGGCTTGTAATGCCAAGAAAAAGTACCTTTGGAAGGACAGATAAAAAATATTGAAATACTTTCATGACATTCCAAAAGAAACTTTTGTATTTTAAAAAACCAAATAAATGAATATACTCATGATTAATATAGGGGATTATTAAATTGACCTCTGTGAATCTTAAATCAACCCACCTTTGTTCTTACAGTCTTGTATCACGCCATGTGTCTTGCATCACGTCACATATTTTTCACTTATCCAAAGAGGTCACCCTTTTCTCATCTATCCCTCAATATTGCATTTTTAAAATTTCTTTTCCTCATTTACAACTGTATTGCCTAATACGAGTGTGATGTGTGACCAGATCAATTGAGATTCTTCATGTTTTTCTATTTGTTTCATGTACTAATCAGGAGATGGAATGTTGGAGTATTGTGAATGGACGGGGCACCAAGACAATAAGAATAAGAGTGGGTCGATTTAAGATTTTGCTTGGGCCAATTCAATACTCCCCTCTACGCATGCATATGAACACCCAGCACATTCGGAGTTAGATTGGACTGCAGAATTCAAGCGGCAAATCGTCAGTCACGGGGTAGACTGCCCAAACACTACGTTTAGACCGGCTGTGGCTGAACCTTGTCCGCAGTAGGCAGATGACATATTTCCTTCGTCTTTCTTAGTGTCTAGTGAGCCTTCTTCACGCTTGATCTTCTGACAATACCTCAACTTCAGCCCGGAGCAGTTTCTACAATACAAGTCTTAGGGGTTCAGTAAACGAGGGTGCTTTTTATTGAGAGGTGGAGTTTGCCGGTGGTCATGTCTCAAGTTTCACACAACAACAAGACGATCATGGTGGTAAAAACATCAAGCGGAACAATCTCCCCTCCTACCGAGCTGTGGGAGCTCCACTTCGTGCACTTCACTCAAAGGTGCTTGAGAAGGATGACCCCCCTAGCAATCGAAGTTTAGCCAGCTTTTGTTCGTTAAAAGGGTTTTGAATTAAGGTCCAAGTCAGTGCCGAATCAGATTAGTTAGGTGTGTGAGATACGACCTCGTCCTTCACTGACAAACCCATGATCGAGAGTTCTCATTTTTATTCCTTCATTTAACCATGAGAATCGATGGCCCAAGTGTTCACTTAAGGGCACCCACATGGACAAGGACAGCCAGAATGAAGTTTGGACGAGATTGGCTTCGAAGATTCCGAATGAAAACAAGTTCCAAGCCGGATCTCCGTTCACACCCAATTCATGGTTGGGGATCGCCCGATGGGAGCTCGGACCTGAGAAGCGGACAGAAAGCCACGTCAATCGACGAGGAAACACTGTCAATTGCCATCCTCATCCTGTTCCTCTTATCCCTCCCTCCGTGAGCACAAAGTGTGTGTTTGGATTTGGCTTCCGCCCGGTTAGTCATGTTCATCTCACAATCCGGGGCATTCAGAGTTGCCGAGTTGTGATATAGAGGAGTGAGAAGGTATCCCAGAATCTAGAGGTGAAGCAGCTATGGCCATGTCTTCCGCGGTCTTCACACCGTTGCCGATTTCGTCCTCATTGCGGTGCTCTGCTGCTGAGTCCAGCAGCAATGGCGCCAGCCCCAGCAATGTTGAGTCCTTGAAGCTGCCGCAGCTGGCCGTGTCTAGGTCACAGCCACTTTCCGTGAACCATGGGGAAGCGTCGGTTATGTCCGTGCTGCACCCCGGTCTGGAGCATGTCAATGTCATGTACTTCAAGGGCACTTACAACACTCAGGTGTGGCTCTGTGATGGTCTTTGAGTAGGGGGTTAATCGTTTGAAGGTTTCTTTGCCTCTCGAAATTTAGCTGTTCGACGGGAGGGCGTTGTGCGCAGTTGAGAAACGAATGAATTACCGCTTCGTGTAACCCCTGTTTGCTTGTTTGTTTTTCTATGGTTTCCATGTTGGCGTTGGTGTTGATATACGACCATATGGCTGTTCAGGTTTTTGTCGGAGAGGACGAGCCAGCAGATTCAGTCGTGAGGAGGTTCAGGAAAGCTGTCATGGCTGCCGGAGTGATCCCCGAATGCAGGCGCAGGAGGTACCACGAGACTCCCCAGGATATTGTGAAGCGCAAGCAGAAAGAGTCCCACCGCCGAAAAGCAAGGTATCATGTTCACCAGACTCAGAGATCCATGTCCTTGATTGATTTGCTCGTGTGTCTTAACACCTTATCTCTTGACCCACTTTTTGCCGAAACAAGAAACTACTTCGCTGCAACTCTCAGGATAAGATTGCAGCTTCTAATTCTGTTTTTGCCTCGTTAGTAGGTCTCAAGATAAGATTGCAGATTCTAATTCTGTTTTTGCCTCGTTAGTAGGTCTCAAGATTGCCGAGTTCAAAATCTTTGTCGAATGATAGATAAAGATTGTCGAAACAGCGTATTTACCAGAGCGTATATCTGCCATAGTGGTCCATAATGTGGATACCCTGTCTGCCTGCTCGCTCGTTTGTATGCGCCTTTACGTAGGACTGACCATGACGTCATCTAATCTCAGAACCTGAACACACGGAGATTGTTCAGTCTTACTCATATATATATATATATATATATATACATTGATGTGGCTCCCACGAGCAATTCGCTGTTCCCAAGTCATGCATGTCTGATAGTGTCCAATCCACGCTTACGAACCCCTGAACTATGTCACAGTGGCCGAAGGTTCAATGGTCCCCGACCTGAGGGAGGATATGGGGAGAAGAAAGAAGCTGCTGCCTCAAATGACGATGATGATTTCTGGGGTTATGCCGAAGAGGGAGCAGATGTGGGTTTGTAGGAACTTGTATTCACTGCAGGTCACTGTGAGCAATTTTAGCGAGCTTTGGGGCAAGTTTCCCTTGCTCGTATCCAACGAACGACATCTCACCAAATTCTGCCTGACTTTGTTGTTGGTCGACATGTATGAAAAGTTGAGATGCGTATTTTTAGTTTAGGACATCTTTGCAAAAGCGTAGTGTGCCCAAACGGTTCCTCAGGTGTTATCAATGAATGTTGCATGTACAGGTTTGATTATGTGAGTTAACACATATTACTCGTATACGCGCAATGGGGTGTGCACTGCATGAGATTTGCAAGTATTGCAATTCCTTCCTTATTTTTTTAATTCTTGAGCTTGTCAATTTTATTGCAACTAACCAAAACATTATGTTATTAAAAGTGGTAGTGTCGTGTCTACTGTATATTAAGTTGAAGTCTACTCTAGGAATAATCACTTTTGATATATGGATCCAGAGTGGACTGGTCAAATGAAACTTATTAATCATTCCTAAGTAGTACTACTGTAATGGGTGATTTGTCGACTTCACACATGTTGTTCGAGTTACAATGTTCGGGCGCAATTTAAATGACGTTTGGTTGAATGAATGAAAGCATCTTTTTAAGGACGCTGGGATCCAATATCAAAGAATTATTTCTACTTCTTAGATCTACACTCTGATAAATGTGCTGGTTTTTCAACACAATGACCATGAAACTGTAACTAGTTTCAAATTACAATTATAATAAATCTCTACATTCTATGTTGCTGAGGTGAAGAATTCGTTTGGAACATTTATTAATTTTCTACAAGTTGTTAATTTATTGAACATAATTTACTCAAATTTTCTTATAATTTTCAATAAATTTTCCTATAGTTTTTAATAAATTGTCCGAACTGTCAATGTGATCACTCGTAGATTTATATAATAATCAGGTACTTACTTTCTTCGTCTCTTTGATACATTGAACTAAACAATTGGTAACATTTTATCAGTGTCTCGACGTGCAATTGTTTTTCAATTAGCTATAATTTCAAATATAACCTCTGTAAAACATTCGGCAAGCATGGACTATTGAGAGAAATGAGTAAATAACTTCATATGATGTTCCTTAAATTTTATTTATGCATTTTAAGATCATCTGTATCAAAATGTGATTAATTGTGTTAAACATTGTTACAGATTTTGATTTCTATTACATGTCATCTAATTTCAATGTCCATTCTACACAAATAATTAATTCAGCTTCGATCTTTGTGTACTTAAAATACTTTAAAACATTTGAAATAACCCTTTGCAACCCCTCTCTCTCTCTCTCTCTCTCTCTCTCTCTATACATATATATATATACAAATGTTTGCATCATGTGCTCTTTTAATTTTAATGTACTAAAATAAACTTTATTTTATAATAGTTTTAGATAATTGTCAACATAAATAGTATTTTACTGCATTTTAATTAATACTTCTAGCTTTGACTTTTCTTGTGGTATCACTTTTAATTTTTTTAGTGAAGTATACTTATTAGGAATTGCACAGGGATTTCTTGAACATTTGCAAGAACTTATTAAAGTTTTTACTCTTATGCAAATCTAGTTATTAAAAACAAATAAGCCACAACTTGCAATTGAATGAATTGTTGATAATTGTATTCCTTAATAATACATTTCAAAGAATTTATTAAAAAATATTAATATATTAATGTTATTAATAGTTTTTATATTAAGGGAATTAAATGAAAAAAACCAAATATCAACGATTTTACTAACTATCAGTAGAAGATTAAAATATTTTATAAGTAATAATTTTATAAAATTTATTAACAAAGTGTAGGTTTAATTTTTCCGTGAACATATTAGTATATGCAAAGTGTGTAATTTGGTTTAGGAGTACACTAACTATAACAATATATAATATAAAGAATAATGCCAAATCTTCTTACTTTAAAACAATAAATATATGAAAATAACCAAAAAAATGTAATAAAATCAAAAGATGTTGTTCAGTGCATAATTCTACTAACATACATTTTTTAAAAAAACATTTATAATTCCAAGTACAGCTTGTGTTCAATAATCATTTAATGTAAGAAAAAAGTTATCATTGTTTGTTTGCTTGTAGGTTAGTTAGTTAGTTATTTTTTTTGTAATATAAATAAATAAATATAAATATATAAATATATATATATATTAAAATAATAAATACATATAAGCTTCTATAAAATTTAATGGATTTCAACCAACAAGATCAAGAAATGAGAAGTATAACACTTTTGTTAAATAAATAAATAAATACATATATATATATATATATATATATATTATAATTAGTAATAGAATATCCAAAAATATAAAATATACATAAATTAAAATGAAATATTCTAAAAATAATAATACACTAATTCTATATTTATGTAAATAATGTAATTTTATTGATATTATTTGAAGTTTCCAATGGATCTAATTTTCAATCTTCTATGGACATGAAGTCCTTCAATCTTTATAGTTAATAGTAAATAGTAGATATATTAAATATAATAAATATTAAATAATAAATAGCAAATAGTAAACATTTAAAATGAAAATCAACAAGATAGACACTCATTGTGCCGCACATTAATTTAATGAACAAACAAAATCAATGATCATTGTTTGAAACTTTATATAAAGACTCTTGTACTAAATTTGTTAATTAAAATTCAATATAAATAAAATCAGTTTTCTTTTACATAATTAATTTTTAACTTTTTTTTTTTACAAATTTTATGTGTATAGATGTCAACAAAGTAAATTTTGTTTATACTAAAATTCAAGTAACAAACATATTACAAGAGTATTCAAACACACTTAAAAATAATGATATTTTATTTTATAATCATATTTATTAATTAAATATAGAGAGCTGTTAAAGCCATACCTCCCTTGCCATCTCATGATTAACTCAGTCTTTCTCTAGTCCCCAATCTCCCCCATTTCCATTCCATGTCCCTAGTCCCTTGTTCCTAGTGTCTTTGTTCTTACTTATTTGTATTTAAAATAAGTTATATAATTTAAAATCTTAAAATCAATTGGTTTGTTATTGCAACAAATTCTAGTCTTAAAATTATTTAGTTTCAAAGAAATAATAATAATAATTTTTAAAACACTATTTTTAGTAATATAGATATTAATTTTAGTTATCTATAAATTTATTTCTTATCAACAGTAACTAATTTTAGTTAATTTAAATAATTTTGAATTTTATTTATATTTACACTTTTTTTCTTTGAATATTAATTTAACTCATAATAGCTAAAATTTATTTTTTTAGAAAAATAGATTTAGTATTATAATTATAAAAAATAATTATAAAAATTAATCGTTAGAAGTTTTTATTGCAATTTGTATAAAATAAAATTATTAGAAAATATTTTTTTAAAAATAAAAAAATAAAAAAAGATGACTTAAATATTTATACGAAAATAAAATGAAAAATATTTATCATTATAGAAATTTAAATTAAATTTTTTTTTATTAGTATTTAATTTTTTAAAATATTAATTAATTAATTAATTAATTATTTTATGGTTTTTACTTATATTTCTTCTGGTTAATGTCTGTTTTAAACTTTTAAAAAATATTATTTATAGTTTTATAAATTTTTATATTATTTATTTCTAAAAGCATATAAATTTTTATTATATTGTAAAAAATATATTTTATTTTATTTTATTCTTTAAAAAATAAATTTAATTACCTATATATATATATATTTTACTTGATTAATATTTTATTTAAATATTAATTTATTTCCATAGACATTAATTGATCATGATGTTGAATATTATTGGTTTTTTGTAAGTACTATGTGAAGATCTTCTTTTGAGTCCAAACTTTAATTAGTTATTCAGATTTTAAACTTTGAATTATATAACCAAATCTACAATAGATTGGCATATACAAGTTTTATATTAAGTTTATTTTATTAATAACATTATATCTTTAAAATTACTTATTTTGGAAAAATAATAATAATTGTTGATAGAGATAGTTTGATTGTGCACAGAATAACAAAGATTGGACTAAAACCAAATAATCATGTCATATTTCTTCTTCTATATATATAAAAAAAAAAAAAAAAAAAAAAAAAAACATATGATGTAAAATTTAATGGTTCAAACATCTAAAGCAACCATCTTTAATATGTGTAGGACAATTGCATTGGAAAGTCATAAAAATAATAATAATAATACTGATATTTCAACATGTTATCTTTTTTAGAAAAATATATTAAAAAATATTTAAGAATATTTTGTAGTGGTTGATCGTTTTTCGTGTTACGATGTGTAGAACATTCTCAAACATCTGAATATGAAGCTGTGGCTGGTGTGGTGTAAGTGCCTGTATTGTATTGTGCTGAGTCGAGAGTTCCGTAGTCTAAGAGCAAGTAAGTAGGCTTGGGTACAGCAGTGGTGGAGGGTCGGTACGCAATGCTCTGTGCAGCTTGAGAAGGGAACGCCTAAGATTGCCGTGGTTTTATCGAATGGGTGATGTTAGCGCAGTTTGTGGCGGGATACCAGGGTGCACTGCAACTATGTTGTTCCTGTTTTTCAGGAAGAACTGCCTGAAGGGGTTTGAGAACTTAATTGGATCGAAGTGAGCTGTACACAGGTAGTTGGTAGTCACAAGAGGTGTTGATTCCCGATCATGACCTTGTGATGCGTTCGTGGGGGCTGTGGTGTTAAATACCTCTATTTACATGAACTTGGTAGCTGGGTTGTTAGCTCGTAATGGTGGTTGGCTCATTTGGCATTAGAATCAGTTTGTTGCTGTTTCGTGACAAAAATGTGACCTCACAGGATTGATGGTTTCCACAAAGATGACTTTGTCTCACAAGTCCGGCGCTGTCTTGCTAGCACATCTGTATTTTAGAATGTCTGAAATCGTTGTCAATTCTGATTTACTCGTGAACGGCATCTCCGGTTATTAATTTCCGTGTTCCTGTCCGCAGTTGGTATCAATTGGTATCAATAAGTATAAGTAAGCATCATATATATATATATATATATATATATTTTATCGTCTATGAGTGACTTGGTCTGTTGTTTTTAAAAGTGTGGTACGAATGCTCGTACCTTAAACTGCCTCAAATTATTCATTGGGCTAAGAAACACGAAATTGGTTTAGGGAGTTGGTTTGACGAAAGGGATCTTGCGCTTCTTTTAAAGTAGCACGTAATTGGTTTTCATCACACTTCACTTCATCCCAATCACATGGATCAAATTGATTAGCTCTTGCAAGGTCCATTTTTTCACACAATCCTTTCTTTAAAGCAACTTCATAAATCATGTCCCGAAACCACTTTAATTCCAATAACAATTCCCTAAAAGTCTCCTTTGTTTTAGATTGCAACAAGGCCAATTCTTGAAAAGTTTTTTGTTTTTTTTCTATGAATCAGATTTGGCACTTGCTGAAAAATATCTTTTGTTTCTCTTTGCATCATGGCAACTCCTTGCCAAGCCCCTGTACATCTATTAACCACAATGATGGTAGCACATTGTGATTTGAAGCCTAATAATATTGTAGTTGTTAATTACAAAAGAAAAAGGATTAAAAAAAGTGGCTACTTGCATGTGAAGTTGGTTGACTTTGGAATATCCAAAGTTGAAGTGAATGGTTTGCAAATACCAACTGATGGGCCTCCACATGGAACTTTTGGTTACATGGCTCCTGAGGTGAAAAATCTTAAAAAAATATACATCTTTAGAAAAGATTGATGCATTTAAAGCAGATGTATTTAGTTTTGGAATGGTTTGTTATGATATTTTGGTACAAAAAAAAGATATTTCTCTTGAAAGTAATATTACCAAGAGAATACAATGTAAAATGCAAGGATTACAAAACTTTAGTTGTCCTTTGGAACTTAAATTAATAATTGAAGAATGTTTGTTTGAAAAAGATCCTTCCAAAAGACCTTCATTTAAAAACATTTTAGAAAGCTTGATGGACATTAAAAAAATTGTCCTTGAAGATCAACTTACTAATATTAAACATTTAAACTTGTGGTACTTGAAGCATGAAATAAAGAATATTCTTTATTTGATAAAAACTTGGAATATATATAAGATTTTATTGATTTTTTTTGCAAGTTTATGGAGATGGATACTTCAAATTCAAAATAATAAATCTAACAGTAGATCAATCAAATTCCATACAAATGTAAGTTTTTTCTACAATTCTTAATACTTTTGTGTATAGATTTTTTTATTATTATTACAAAAACAGAGTTGATAATTTTTTTATAAAAAATTAAAATTTAGTTAAATAATTTATTTTAATATTATAGAAAAATAAATATATGTATATTTACATAAAAAATATTAGCTTAATTTTTTTAATAATAATACTTTTAGTAATTAATAATTTATTATAATATTATATTATTAATTAAGATCCTAATTTTTTGTTATGTTTTTTTTCTTTAGATTTGCAACAATTTTTCAAATCATCAAAAACAAATAAGTTTACAATCAAGGATATTAGAACTAGAAAAAGTACTCATGAAGAATTCTATGGTTGGTGTAGTTGGAATTGCTGGTATTGGCAAGACTACATTAGTAAATGCTTTCAAAGAATATTATCAAGAAAAAATACTAAAAAAAAAAAATTCCTTGTCTATTACAAATTGCCATCCAAAAGAAAAATCTTTTGGTAATAAAAATTTTATACATGATATATTTATAATGGATTTAAAAAAATGGAACTTTGAATGAATTGAAAAAGATTATGAATTATTTTGGTAACAAAATAGAGGACCAAAACCTTATAGAAGAAAAAAGCTTTTTAACAAATATTCTTCAAAAAAAAAATATTATTTTGATCTTAGATGATGTTTCAAGTCAAGATATTCTACCTAAATTAATAGATGTCACAAAGTTTGGTACAAATAGAAGCAAGTTGATAGCTACTAGTCGAACATGGAAAGTTTTAAAAAATACTATAAATGAAAGAAGTAAAATTGAGTTGGATTCACTTGAAGACAATGAAGCCATAGAAATATTTTCTAAGTATGCTTTCAAAGATGGACGTCCTAATATGCCTCATTTATCCAAAATGTCCATGGTAGTTGTCAAAGCTTGTGCTGGACATCCTTTGACATTACAAATTTTGGGATCTTCTTTACATAATCAAACAAGTCTTTGTGTATGGGAGCTAAATATTCAAAGATTAAAAAGGGCTTCAAAATTTCTTGGCTCAAATGATCTTTGGGCAAGATTGGAGCCCACTTATAAAGACCTTAATGGTGAAGAAAAGACCATGTTTTTAGATATAGCATGTTTTCATTGTAAAGATATATGGCATGAAAATATCAATCAAGATACAATTATTCAATTTTATGAATATGAATTCAAGAATGCTAAAGAAATTATTACAAGTCTCAAAGATAAGTCATTCATCAAATTAGATTCATTTGGATTTATAAGTATTCATGATTTGCTTCGTGATATGGCTCGAAGAATTTCTAGAGAAAAATTTGATGGAATTCGAAGATGGAATGAAAGTGATGGATCATTTGCTCATCAAGCACAAAAAGTATGACACTAAAATCATTGCATTATTTAACATAATTATATTTTTTTTGTTATAGAATTTTAATTATATTTTCTAATATATATCTATCTATATTTGTTGATAAATAATGATATATTATGCATTGTGTACTACAAGATGATTTGGAAATGAAGGGTCTTTGTTTTACAAATTGTGAAAAATATATGAAGCCATATGATAATATAAATGTCAAATTTCAACATCTCCATCTTTTAGGTTTCATAAAATGCTCAAATATGAATATGACAAGCTCATATATAAAAAAACATTCATAAACTAAGGTGGTTAAGAGTTCATTATTCTACAAAAAAGAATATGATAATATTACAAGAAAATATAAAAATAATTTTTGAAATTTTATATTACAAAAATATGCAAAATATTATTATTTTAGAACTAATTCATATTGATTTTTTAAAATCATTTTCTATTGACACATCTAACATGATGTATATAAAACATTTAAGCTTAAATATTAATCTTTATGGAAAACAAAAAATTGCTTTAGAGATTCTTAATCTTGAAGGATGCAAAAATCTAAAAGATATTACAAATCTACTTCCTAACATACAATCCTTAAAAAAAGTGTATATGAATAAATGTACAAATTTAATAAATGGTGGAAAAAATATACACCTTTTATCTTCAATAATAACAATAGATTTGTAAGAATGTTGGAGTTTAAATGAAATCCACAAAGCTTTTGAAAACTTGCACTTTCTTGAAAATCTTGCTTTATCAAATTGCAAAAATATAAAAAAAATTCATGCAAATTTTAAAGACTTTATAAATTTGAAGAAGTTATGGCTTAATAGATGTGAGAACTTGGAAGACATGCCATTGGATTTGAAGACACTATCATCATTGGAGCTTTTAAACCTTCAATGTTGTAAGAAAATGAAATTTGATGATGATGCATTTGATGCATTCTTATCTTTAAAAGAATTGTTATTAGAAAGTTGCTTAGATTTGAAAGAGGTGCATAAAGGATTTGGCAACCTTACATCTATTGAAGAACTTAGATTTACTAATTGTAAGAATTTAAAAGCCATCCATGCTAGTTTTGAAGGCATGAAAAATTTGAAACAATTATGGCTTGATGGATGTGAGAACTTGGAAGATATGCCATTGGGTTTGAAGACACTAATATCGTTGGAACTTTTAAACCTTCAACATTGTCAAAAAATAAAGTTCGATGATGATGTATTTGATGTACTCTTATCTTTACAAATATTATCATTAGAAGATTGCATGCAATTGGAAGATGTGACTAATGGATTTGGCAACCTCACATGTATTGAAGTACTTAGTTTTATAAATTGCAAGAACTTGGAAGCTATCCATGCTAGTTTTATGGGCATGACAAAATTAAAGTACTTATGGCTTAATGGATGTGAGAACTTGAAAGACATGCCATTAGGTTTGAAGATACTATCATCATTGGAATATTTAGATCTTTTACATTGTGAAAAAATGAAGTTTGATGATGATGCATTTGATGGACTTTTATCTTTACAAGAATTAATATTAGATGGTTGCTTGGAGTTGAAAGAAGTGCATAAAGGATTTAGCAACTTGACATGTCTTCAAAGACTTAGTTTTATAAATTGCAAGAACTTGAAAGCCATCCATGCTAGTTTTGAGGGAATGACAAACTTAAAGTACTTATGGCTTGATGGATGTGAAAACTTAAAAGACATGCCATTGGGTTTGAAGACACTATCATCTTTGGAATATTTAGATCTTTTACATTGTAAAAAAAATGAAGTTTGATGATGATGCATTTGATTCACTCTTATCTTTACAAGATATGTTTTTATGTGGTTGCTTGGAGTTGAAAGAGGTGCATAAAGGCTTTAGAAATGTCACATGTATTCAAAGACTTTGCTTTACAAATTGTATAAATTTGAAAGCTATCTATGCTAGTTTTGAGGGCATAAAAAATTTAAAGAAGTTATGGCTTGATGGATGTGAGAGCTTAGAAGACATGCCATTGGATTTGAAGACATTATCATCATTGGAGCTTTTAAACCTTCAACATTGCAAAAAAATGAAGTTTAATGATGATGCATTTGATACACTCTTATCTTTAAAAGAACTATTATTAGATAGTTGCTTGGACTTAAAAGAGGTCCATAAAAGATTTAGCAATCTCATATGTCTTGAAAAACTTAGTTTTACAGATTGCAAGAACTTGAAAGCTATCCATGCTAGTTTTGAGGGCATGAAAAATTTAAAAAAGTTATGGCTTGATGGATGTGAGAACTTGGAAGATATGCCATTGAGTTTGAAGATACTAGCATCATTGGAATATTTATATCTTCATTATTGTGAAAAAATGAAGTTTGATGATGATGCATTTGATGTACTCTTATCATTACAAGAACTATTATTAGATGGTTGCTTGGAGTTGAAAGAGATACATAAAGGATTTAGCAACTTGACATGTCTTCAAAGACTTAGTTTTACAAATTGTAAGAACTTGAAAGCTATCTATGCTAGTTTTGAGGGCATGGCAAACTTAAAGTACTTACGGCTTAATGGATGTGAGAACTTGAAAGAAATGCCATTGGATTTAAAGACACTATCATTATTGGAATATTTAGATCTTCTACATTGTGAAAAAATGAAGTTTGATGATGATGCATTTGATGGACTTTTATCTTTACAAGAATTAATATTAGATGGTTGCTTAGACTTGACAAAGGTGCATAAAGGATTTAGCAACTTGATATGTCTTCAAAGACTTAGTTTTATAAATTGTAAGAACTTGAAAGCCATCTATGCTAGTTTTGAAGGCATGATAAACTTAAAGTATTTATGGCTTGATGGATGTGAGAACTTGAAAGAAATGCCATTGGATTTAAAGACACTATCATTATTGGAATATTTAGATATGCAACATTATTAGAAAATATAGTTTCATGATGTTGATGCATTTGATGTATTTTGTTCTCCAAAAATATTGTAATTAGATTGTAGCAATATTGTGATTAGATTGTGGCATATGATTGCACATTGATTTTTATTTGTATATATATATATATATATATATATATATATAAATTTCTAATATTATCTTAATTTTTTTATCGTAAATTTGGAATTTAAATATGAGCATATCTAATATCAACTTCTTTTACTTTTAATAAAATTCAAATATCTTGTAAAAGTTTGTAAATAAATTCTATAAGAGTTAAAATTCTAATATGTAACAAACAACAACGAATATTTTCATAATTGAAACACATTTTTTGAGAAATTCTAAAAAGTCATCTATGATGAATATTTGAATAATACATATAATCTAGCTTTAATCATTGAATCTTAAATTTAGTAGAAACTTCATTGAATCTTTTATAAATCTCAAATATAAAAAGTCTTTTTAACATAGTTAAAATATCAATACTATATTTTATAACTAAAAGGACTTAAAAATTTGATTAATTTTATCTGAGTTTTATTTTTTTAATATTCTATCATAGATATGACCAAAAATTATGAACAATTTTTTTTTAAAATGATATTAATACTTATTTCAAATATTTATTTATTTTTATAAAAAAATTATAATTCATATTTACATGTAAATTCATTCATCTACTTATCCATATACCTCTTTTATTGGATATTACTACAAAATAAATATGCAAATTTTTTTTTTATTATTATTATTATTATATATCAATGTGGTTTTGCATTGAGTATGTATATGTACAACTCATCACTTCTAAATCTTCAATTCTATTGCAAAAGTGTGCATCTATGCAATAGTACAAAAATGACTTACTACATCAAGTGTTCACATCATCATCTATAATTGACCTTGAAGCTCTTCTCAATTACTAAAAAAATAAAAATAATATCAAAAATACAAATAATCAATTAACTTATATTTCTAATATTTCAAAAGTTATGATTTTTTAATTAAAACATTCTCTTTCATCATTTCTTATATTTACTAGAATTACTCTATTATCCACTTCTTCATATTTATTTATTAAGTTGGTTTTCAAAATATAGTATTTTTTAATAATTTCTTCTATGATTTACCAAGATTGTTAAATCTTTAATGAAAAAGATTTAAAGATTGATTTTTATGATCTTGGTAAAGATTGATTTTTATGATCATAAAAAGAAAAATAAATCTTTAAAATTACACAAAATAATTTATAAACTGTGATAAAGAAGTCTAAAATATATAAAGAAGTAATAATGATTAAATTAAAAGATTTGAATGTGTGACTATATATATAAATATATATCAAATAAATTATAAGTATTTAAAAACTAAATCTTGAATTATTTTACTTAAATAGTAATATTTAGATTTTGAATTATTTTGAATTATATAAAAATAATTTATACTTTCTAAATTTAATTCTAATAAAATCTAATCTAATAAACAATATAAATTTTTAAATAAGTATATATGTATATATTCAAAAATATTTTAAAAAAATTATATGTAATTTTAAAAATTAAAAAATATCTAAATAATTCAATACTTAAATATTTAATATATACAGACATATATTTTTAATCTAATCCATACTATTAGTTTACATATTTTTTTTACTGATATAAAATTATTTAAATGATATGGATGCTTGAGATATTAATAAAACAATATAGTAGCAAAAGAAGAATAAATACAATGTGAAAATAACATATTTAAAAAATAGTATAATTTGATGAATAAAAAAAATATTTAAATAATTAAATATAAATAATATGACAAAAATATCAACTAAAGAATATAAATTATACTAAATACCATAGTTATTATACATATTATATAGATTAATAAAAAATGAATGCAAAGATAATATAATAAATACTAATTTTAAAAAATACTAAATATTTTTTTAATTGTTGATAATTCTATAAGATATTTAAATTATATATATATATATATATACTTAAAATCTTATTTTAAAAGGCCATATTATATAAGCCTTATTAAGTTTATTTGTTTACTAAAATATTATATTTTTTAGAAGCTTTAACTTTTTGATATAATATAAATAAAAAAGAAGCTAGAAAATAATAAAATAGACCAAATAATTTTTTCTTATTATAAATCTAAACATGTCAAATAGATTCTTATTTTTAAAATTAAAATTATAATAAATTATAATATTAAATATATTTTTTTAAAAATTAGTCATTTTTAATAATTTTTAATACAAATTCTCAATGTTTTCTAAAAACCACTTCATAAAATAAAGCTAAAAATATTCATGCCATATAAAAAAATGTTCAATCTACATCATCTTCTTTTCTTAGTACCTTCAAATTGATTTTTCTAGACATGAAACCAACTAAGTAAAGGTTTATGATATCAATCAATCAAAAGATTATAAAGATATGACTTTTGACCTTATTTCCTAAATATAAAGATCTCTTAGATGCTATTAAATTTCTAAATCAAAAACAAAATTCACACCCTCTCTCTCTCTCTCTCTCTCTCTCTCTCTCTCTCGCAATACATATATAAAATTCATTGAAAGGATGTAAATTTCTTGATAATTATTAAAATGTAAACTAAAAGAGATTTGTAATAATATTATAATTGATTGCATTCAATATAATTTATTCAAATGCTTCAAGCTAATTAACATGCTTTATAGACTAGATCATCAATCTAAGCTTCCAAATCTATCCACCCACCTACTTGCACCTACTATAGAATGTGGCTGCAATTGCAACTTGCTTAGTCTTACAAAGCCAATCTACTCTATTTTTCTTCACAAAACAAAGGATGATGTTGAAGCATTGCAACATAAATACCACCCAATTTGGTTGATCATAAGGTTGAAAGGAAAAATGATCCTTATATTGGATTTAATTTATTACACTCAAGTTTGCTTTATTGATGCTACTATCAGTAGCAATCGTCAATGCATCCTCTTCTACCTCAATGGTGTGGCTTTGGTTAATAATTGGTTGTTTAATTGAGACCAATTAGTTACTCAGATGTTATTGTAGACTATGACTATGGTTTTGACAGATGTGCAATTTTGAGGCTAATATTCTCTACTATTCTACATTATAACACTGATCTATTGAGATGATGCTCTTTAATACATACTTGTTATTATCAAAGAGGGTGAATTTATTATTATACTTGTTGTCGATTGTCACGTCTACCTTTGTGAAGTCTTTTGTAATGTTGCCACTATTAAAACTATGAGATTTTTAGAGATGTTAAGCTGTTGTATAATATAAGATTTATATAAAGTTTATTTTGTTAAGAAAGATGTAACTAAAAGGATTGTGTTCCCTTCATATGATATAAGTTTTTACTCTATTTTTAATGCCACACTATGATTGATTAATTGAATATTAAATTCCAAAATAGGTGCTTAACCAAGTCATAATATTAGTAAGGTTTCTTCTCCAAGTAAGCCAAACAATACCAAATATTGGATAAGATTTGACTAAGACAAAAACTTGGTCAAAATATTAGTACATATGTTATGAATAGAATACTATTGTAATTGAATATCCTTGAAAAAAATAATTAACAAATGAATTGATATCGGATTGCAATATACTTTGTTTGTGAATAGAATTTGGTAGTATTGACAAAGATAAGCATAGATTCATTCTCACAATAGATTAGTGATGGTTGAGTGATAGTTTTTCTATAGTAGAGATTATAGAGTAATTGTTGGAACCATATTAATTTGGAAGCCATAGTCATCATCACCATGTATTTGGCTTTGGTACTAGATAACACAATAGAATGTTGGGAAGAAGAACTCCAATTAATGGTGTCATTTGAGAAGAAGAAAATATATCCCAAAGTGGAGCATTTCTTGCTAATTTTTATGCCAAATTAGTATAATTGAATCCATAATGGAGGTGCAAAATATGAACAAAATACCAATATTTGAGATAAAACCCTATTGTGCAACATAGGTATTGAAATGTATGCTTGTGTGCACAAATGTGAACAAAACTTGGATTGTGCATGTATTAGGTAATCGTGATGATAGCAAAATCAATATTAAGGTGTGTACATATGTTGGTTTAATTTAATGAATCAACAACATTGGCATAAGAAAACTTTGCATAGAAGAGCTTCGCTTTTAGAGTTAAAGAAGAATACATGACAAACAAGTGAATTCTAAGAATATGCAAGGTCAAGACAAATTAAACATCAAAAAAAATAAATTTTGCTTATTTCTTTTTGATGTACAAAGCTT